AATACAGGGAATAGTTTTTAATTTGAAGAGAACATCAGGATTATTACTCATAAGATGGAGAATTTTTTTAAACTAATGTGTATGTGATGTTGCCGTATATTGGTGCTTTAGAAACGATACCTTGTCTAAATATAATTACGCATCTACTCAATTCACCTTTTGTAAATATTTGTTACAACTTATTGTAACAGAATAACGATCTGTTAAAAAACTTGTACAGGGGAACTAGAATTTTGAATAGAACCAGACCCAAGAATAAAGAAAGTTTTTAATATAAAAGTTGCAAAAGTATTATAATGATACGATGAGGCGTTTTTGTAAAAAGGAAACACTACGACAACCGCCTGAAAAAGTAGAAAATTGAAAAAAGAATCAACAGTGAAAACAATTGAGAACGAAATATAAGATATATTTTGGTACCAAGAGAGAATATTAAAATGTTTGATTTAATCAAATATGCCTATAAGTGGTTGTGTTTTAATGTTTACACTGCATAGGTGTAACAGGAAACGTAGACAAATTGCTTGATTACAATGCAGGTTTAACGAAACATTAAGAAATAATTATTTTTTCCAGGTTTTCAAGTGTCATTTCCAATACATAATGACACATTAAACATCACATTGGAAGTATTGAAAGGCACCGTGATACTCGAGGACGTTGCAGATGCAGAAAATATCACCCTGACTGCTGGAAAAAATGTCAAGGTAACAATGTCATGTGTTGAGAACTTAATTTATGATTTATATTTACTCCACAATAACATTACATCGAATCCAAAAGCCTGGTCTGCTCTGAGCTGCATAGTGGCCTATTTTTCGATAATTCCATGTACACTGTTAACTTGTCTGTTGAAAAGTGAGATGGATTTGAAAAGATGAAAGTTGATTGCATTTATCTCGATATGTATTTTGATTCGTTATGGTAACGTTTAACTCAAGCAAGAACCCATTGCCATGTCGCACGGCAGTGATGCGCTCCGTACATGTATATATGTCTTCGTCGTATTCACCCCCCACCCCCACCCCCCACTCCCACCCCACCCCATCCCACAGAAAAATGTCGTTTAAATCATGCACCATCTTTATTAACATTGAACATTGCTGATTCAAATTTTCCCGCGAATAATTACCAGCTATAAAGAATGTCATTTGTTATTGCAGCTGTTGCCAAGAGAGAGATACGTCGTACATACAATTTCTCCATCCCCTTCCTATTTCACGATTTCTAAACAGACCGTGTCAAAGAATGAGACTAGGATGCATAAATATAAAGCAGCTTTGGAAGCGAAGAGGAATGGTGAAGGTTTGTCGGTTTCAGTTCTTCAGCTTTCTTGAAATTTTAATCACAAATAAAGATAAAATATTTGCTAACCTCCATATGTTTAGACTTTTAAGATTGGAAGTTTAAAATGAGAGGATGTTTCGATGCAAAACTTTGTTAGTTGCTCCTTGTTAATTCTTTTGACATGCAGGTATATTCTTCGTTCTTCATCCTACATATCCTGTCTCATTACCGGGATTTTATCAAATTATATAATATGAGTTTGCTGATAGGATGATCAGGTATAGAATTTCGGTTCAGCAATCCAGATGTATCTTAATTTAAATATTATTATAAACTTGTAATATATATAATCGTAGTTTGTGCGAAATTCAATTGATATTTAGGAATATTGAAGTTGAACATTTTAATGTATTTATTTGGCTTTTTCATTTACTGACAGATCCGGAAGGTGAACTATTGAAAGAATTCAGCAAGAACGAAATTTACAGGTTACAATTTGCGTTGGAAAGGCAGAAACAAAGCAAAAACAAGAAGGAATTTGGTCCTGGCTGGAGTGTAAAAGGATTCGTCACCTTCCTGAAATCTAAATATACTGTCATGAAGCACGGGTACATATATTAACTAAAAGTGCTGCAATTGCGAAATCGTATCATTATCACAATGCAATTGAATTGCACAGACGTAGGTAACTGTCAGATTGAGGTGTTAATCACTCGTACAATCTTTAAGGCCGCAACATTTCATGATTATGATATGTTCATTGCATAACAAAATATTAGAAAATGCTTTAGGATAATTTAAGAAATCAAATTTGACTGCTGTGACCGTGAATGTGACTAGATATTATTGTTCTTTTTTGTTTGTTTAAATAAACACGTATTTCGTAAGAGCGCTCTAAGAAATGAACCATTAAGCCTTTAATTGTATGTTCAAGCCCCGGAATCATGAAACATCTTAAAGAAATGTTTTGGCGTAGCCAATCGCATACGACGTCACTTTTCATAACGTTATCTGTGATTGGTTATGTAAAATCTGAAGATAATTTTAGACTTAGGATCGTTTCATGATCAAGAGGTTAGGTCCTTTCTTTTTATTATCGTTCAGACAATCAGAAACCTACCAGATAGGATCCAAGATGTTCAACAATCTAATAAAAGGAAATAGTCATTTGAGTGCATCCTCAATGAAATGTTATCAATACGATTACTACGCGACTATTGGTGAAGTGCTATGTACATGATATTCTGTCACGTGATTTGTTTAATCAGTTGTCTTTTGATACAATGTGATAACTTTCATTTATTTATTTTGTAGACTGATCATATCAATGGCCGCCATCCGTAGTATCCTCGGTGGAGAACCATTTACGGATTACATCAAACGGAGAGCCTTTTGATTTTCGGAGACAAACGATTACGCACATTTAGCTTTCACCACTTTCTTACAATACTGCAAGGAATAACAATTTTGATTTGTATTACATTCTTTGACCCTTTAACTCACAAATACATAATTGGATTACCAATCGGAGAGAAAATTGAATAAGAAAAAACAAATGAACACCTAGCCCTGATTATTAAGCTGACCCACAGTGGTTCAATACTTCGTTGTATTTGTTGTGTTATGTGAAAAAGTGTATTGTTTCTCCAAAACAATATAAAACTTTTTTGTAATCGTGTATATATTACTAATATTGATTAATATTGAACAAAAGAGTAGAACTATTCGACCCAGTGCACATTAATTCATAAACTTACTTTTTGACAACACTGGTGAAATATTTTTGGAATATTTTAAGCTTATTTTTATCACTCTTGTTGGCCTGTATTGACTCACACCAGGGATGTGGTAGGAAACCGGCGTATCAGAGAAAATCCTAAGTGATAGGCCTGTTAACAACCATATACTTCAAGGACAGTTTATGAAATCAAACCCCGGACAGATAGCTGGAGGATATATACACTGTGGTTACACATTGAGTGTTATACGGTTTTTCTGTCAATCCAGTAAGTTGGTTTCTTAAATTTTATTAAAGCTTAACTTTTAACGAGTGCACTGGTATATTTTGAAAAATAACTACCGAGAGTAAAAGAAATACCATATGCCGTGAGTTTGTGCGACCTGATTCTACCACAATAAAAATTACTATTACGAAGTTCAATTTTACCTGTTCTATACCCCCATGTGTTTTGTTTACGTCATGATATGATGGGCGTTATGATTTGACCTTAAGAACAATGCCGCTAATTAACATCCAAAACTGAAAATTCAGAAACATAACTAGCAAAATATTGGTTTAGTGGTGTAAATACGTGGTATCGTTGTTGTTTCTGTGGAAAATAAGTAGCAAACGATGGTAACCTAGACAAAAGATCACATTGAAACGCTCTTTTCATTGAAAATTAACTAGAGGTTTAAACTTTCGAAGCGTTCTAGCATGTATCCATAAAAGGATGTGCGTACCAAAAGGCATGATTTTCACATTTCCTCACTGGAACTTGCTGAGGTAGCAAATATCTTGCAAGTGACGATTAATTGTTCCTAAAACGTCTTTGAACAACCTGATATACTCACTCAACAACCCTAAATTACTAAGCTGTAAGAACAGACCAATGCGTTCAGATTAACAAACATTACGATTCTCGGTATTATCTCGACAGCTGGAAGGAAACATTGTTGACCTTGTAAACTATTTTCAGAATATCCGATGTCATACAACTTCATGTATATTTGTAAACAGATATTGAATTAGATTTTTTTTAAGTATTATTCGATTTTTTTCCCAGCAAATATAATTTAAACTCCATTATACGTATTTTCGTATCTCATTTCTTACCTAACATAAAAAACTTTGAAAGAAATCTACAGGCTATATCCATTTAAATATTTTTAATGATTTCATGTAATGATATATCATTGAATTTGTTCAATGCTTAGTGATTAACTATTTAATTACAATGTAAAAATAAACTTCGTCATATGTGTTTTTATTTATAGATTTTTATAACGTCAGATTTAGGTAGAATGTGTTCATCCATGTCATATAAATTCACCAGAGGGTAAATGAATTAATATCTCATAAAACTCACGATCTGTTATAAAATCTCATCCTGTATTAATGAATGTACCTTTTAAAGTACAAAACATACGCCAGCCATATTGCTGTATCTGTCACGACAGATGCAGGTATATTTAGTAGGTTTCATTTAAATGTATGTATTCAAAGCTTAATCCAGGTATACATGTATTTTACCTATAAGCGAGAAAAATCTGTGTATATACGCGTCTTTCAGCTGAAGCGTGGTGTTTTATATGTATATATACATATCAGTATATCCGTGTATAAGTCCACGGTAGTTAAATGTCAATTCACTTCGGTAGAATTCTTTACAACATCTGCTTCGGCTATCGTTTTATACAAACGGAACGTTTCTACTATAAACGTAGAAAAGTGCAATGTCGAATTTCATAATATTTTGCATATCATGTATCAATAGTGCATTTCATCTACAAATAGACAATTGTGAGTTTTCATAAGTTTAAGCGACTACAAATTTATCAGCCACTCATGCAGATGTTGTGGGCATTTATTGAGGAAATTTTTATTAGCTAATTGTTTACGTTCTAACGTGAGCTTCCAAAACGTCAAAAGCAACAGTTGGTGATAATTCTGGAACTTGATAGAAAAGGATTGGACAGCGCCAATCACAAGGATGGGTTGCATTGGGGATTCCTCTAAATTAGCATGCGTAGCACTAATTGTCATCATTCTCAGTTTCGTGTGCGCGTGCGTGGCCATCTTCACACCATTCTGGCAGGAACAGGAAAGCAACGGCGTCATCACCTACTCCGGTTTGTTGACTACCTGTCAAAACAGCCTGAGCGAGTGTTTCACTATCGACAACATTCTCAGCGCTTATCAGGGCACAGGTATGTCGGAGATACTTGTAGTTTTATGTACGAAATCTGTCATCTTGTGATATCAATAAAAAAGTATTTCTATACTATTTCTCTTTAATGACGCTTTGTTGATCACTAATCATTAATCGGAGTCCGCGAGAGTTTAATCTGTAAGAACGTTGGCGTACAAATCATCAGGTTAGGGTGCGAGGCACTGTTTCCCCGAACAAGAAACTTTGATTGCTACAGATGCTATGCAACGGGCTTTCCGTATGTTGACTGAGGTAGCCAACAGCCTCTATAAACAGATCCCCAGCTGTTGCCGGGGCGATAAACTAGGCAAACAAATTCAAATTAATGTTTATGTATCGATACATATACGTTAGGGTACATGACATATACGTACAAAAGACAAGCAAATAAGTATATTTTTATACCACCATAACTGCAACATTTGCCAAAAACAAATGTGTACCACCCTTTGTGCTATAAAATATTTTTACGTTTATAAATGTTTCCTTTTATTCAAAATTTAAATTTCTTCTTCATGTCAATCAAGTATTGGTTCCGTATTAAACATTTTTGATTCAAAGTCATAACCACAAATAGCATAACGAAAATGACTTACGAAAGCTCTTTATATAAAAAAGTTGCAAGTAAATTAGTAACCAAAAATAACAAAGAAAATATTTTACATTACTCTTTGTATAGACCACTTGAGGTATCTTACGTTCGTTTCAAAGCATACGTAGCACAGATATGGATATCACACTTTATAGAACAATTACACAGAAAGGTTGAGAAATCATAGTAACAAAGGTGTAAAGTAATATATGTATTACATGTATATTTTAATAATATATTTATACATGTATATATAAATTATTTGATTCCAATACTAGGAAAGCAATTGAAGTAAGTTCATGATAGAGACATCTAGTTGGATTCATTCTAAATTCATCTTAATATTAATCTTAATATTAATATATGATTTTATAAGGTTGCATTTATGTAGAAGAGAATGCCAATTTTCTAAACGTGTCATCTATAACTCATTTCAATTAATCCAACGAGAGAGGTGATAAATAAAATCCCAAAAATGTAGCACGCTTCGGTCACTCAATTAAGGTGTTGAATCAAATAAATGCTTCACCGAAAATCATGACTTTCCGCCATAGCAACATGTCAATATTATGATCCAAATCTGATTCAATTTGTTAAAATGTACGGAGAAATGCTTTTTCACATGTACACATCAATACAGTTAAACAGTGAAAAGGGTAATGCTAAAATATTACCTGGGAATTGTATATAGTACAATTCTATATATACTATGCTTTATCAACTTCAACTAAAATTTACTCGTACAAATGTACATTATATAGATATATCGTTATATTTACAGTTTGTATGTAAAGGCACCAATCAGGATCGATATATACGAAACTATTTTGCTAATAGGTTCAAATCATTTTCTTTTTAGGCTAAACGTACTCAGTACCATACCCTATTGCGACGGCCTTTCAGACAAAATTTACCGATCCTGGCCTTTTCATTGGCTGAAATATCGGAAAGAGTTAAAACCCTCTAGTGGCAATTTTTTGCGTAAATAATGCCGCGATCTTTCAAATCGCTATTCTAAAAGCATCCAAAATTAGTTTATTTTTTAATAACAATACGATTACTATATATTTCAAAAAGAAGCACAGTGTGGTTGAACTATTGATAAATTTTTAACAACATATTTTACGGAATTCTCGACATGACGTAAGCGTACAGAACACTGTACGTGCGAGTTGATAAGAAGCTAGCCTGGGGGCTTAGTTTGAATTATCAACTAACAACACTGATAAACAAACAAAACTTACAAAAAGAACATCAATTTTGTTTTAATCCTTGTCGCTGTGGCAAGATCGTCTTAATATATAACATCACTTTACCTCATTAGACGTCACCGAATTGGACTGTTCGTCCCACGCGCACACCCGCCGATATGACACTTTTTCAGGTTTTTCACACCCACCGCCATGACACTTTTTCAAGTTTTTGAAGACAAAAAGTTAGAGCTTCGTAGGCAAGTTACATTTGGTGCTCATGATTTATGAATAACATATTTTCAATACTGTACTGATCATGATGTTGACTGTTATAACTTATATTTATTTTCTTTTAGTTTTATTTGATGAAGGTTGTTTGTGGTGATTTCTCAAGGTTTGTTAATGTGTATCAAAGTTCCTTGAAATAAAAATATTCCTTCAAACAAAGCGCGTATAAAAAAACCCCAAAATATTCATGTTTATAATTATCAATTAACTAGAACGAAATATTTCCATAACATATTTATTCATTTAGCGTGTCATGGTGACATTATCTAATGCATTGGAGATCAGAAATAGTAGTAGCTATAGTGAAAATATTGTAAATTATATATATATATGGAAGTCTGGTTTAATCGCAAAGAACTATGTCTTTATAGACATAATTACTGGAAGAAAAGTCTAACCATGATACTTCAAGGAAGATAGGCATGTAAATACATTTAATGTAAACACTTACAATTTAATCTATCTGAAATGCTGTGTACACCTTATTTACTTTCCTCAACTACAAATATAATTATAATAAGTAAGGACTATAATTTTGCAATACATTCAAAATAAAGAAGTAGGCATAAAGTCCTTCCGATTTGTCTAAATCCTCATATTGATAGGATAGTAATTGCAACATCTTGGGTATTTCAAAATTTCTTTTTAGTCAACTTCATCATAGAGCTATTTATCTTTTGGCTTGTTGGCGATAAATATATGGTTGTGTGTATTTTGTTATTGTTTTGACCTATTTTGATTTGTTCACATTATTGTCGTCAAATTTGAGATAAGATTTAAAGAAGATATAAAATCGCTTAAAATTAAGGAAAAATGGCCTCTGGTACTCTTATTTTAGTAATTTTTGCATTCCAAAGTGTAGGAGTATGGGGAAAGTAATATAGCTTAGCGGTTATTTGTGAACACTTTTCAAAACGTTTAGCCTCTCAGTACTTTCAGTACTTTGATTATATCCTATGATTAGTTCAATAACCCCTATGTCATGACACTACAATAAGATTAAGTTTTAATAAATAACACCATAAACAAGTGTCAAAAAGTAAAAAAAAAATCAATCTTAGTATGTCACATATCAACAGAGACTAATGTGTGTCTTCCTTAAAATGACTCAAATTAGTCTGAATCTCTCTACTGTAAAATTAGTCAACAAGTAGTCTTAATATGTAGCTTCATATACGATTTTAATAAAAACGTTGAACGCCGTTTGACGCTTGTAGTTCGTCCGTGCCCGAAAATATTCACTTTTCTCCTTTTATTCTATTTGATTTAGAAAGACAGATAAAAACATGTTACAAACAGGAGAGATATACTACCAGCATTGAAAGCGAATTAAAGGCACATTTCAGTTATATCAAATATATTCGGATTACTGTTCTTAACACCGAATGTTATGCTAAATTGCTTGCGATATTTTATTTTAAAACCTTATTTGTAATTTTCTCGATAATGTTCCATATGTTCACATACTCAACGGTAAATGTAAATATGTAATGATAAAGATGAAGGCGGCTGCCCTTCAAAGAACACATATCTTCTCCGCCCTTTCCTCTCCCTTGTCGTTATAGTTCTTTTAAACCGATTTCGTCGTCGTTTGATCTATTGATTTCCGACTTTATTTACGTATCTGTATTATTTTGTGTTATTTCCATTTGATAGATCAATATGACGACTTCCTGGTCAACTTGTCCCTCCAAATGTTTGGTTTCCTTCTCATTATTGTCTCTATGGTCCTTCTTTTCCTCTACTGTTGTTGTACCTTCAAAGCCATCGGAGTGATCGCCGCCATCACCAGTATCTTGGCAGGTAAGATGTTCGCCAGTTTCAAGATGTAGTTATATGGTCGTCGCGATGATCATATTGGGAAATACTCCTTTACGATTTAAAGTGTATTGTATTCTGTGCTAGTATAGCTGGTTGTGCCATTGTGGTTAAACTTGCTTTTATTTGTCAACATGACCTACTTGAATTCTTAAATCCTTCTGGGACATCTTATCTTATTCTCCTTGTACTTCTTTTCATATCTTGCCCTGTTTACTGTTGGTGTAAGCTTTAATGTCTTTTATTAACACATTTGTACAAATTTTGGATAATATATATTTTATTTTTAGAATTGGACATGTTAATTCATTTAATAACCGAGTTCCGTTACTTATCTTACCGAAGTATCTACACATGTAATCTCCCATAATCTCCTGTATAGATTAGAACAACAACTTTCGTCTTTAGCAATAATATACGTGTATTGGCCATATAACAATGAAGCAAAGAATTAAGTTTGGGTATGTTGCAGGCATGACTTCTGAGAAACATAAAAATCTTATTCTGTCTTATCTCAACAGGCTGTTCCATTATAGCGGGGCTGATTGTGTACGGGATCAGTTTCAGTTCCGTAGTTAACTCCTTGATGTCCTGGTCTTTTGGATTAGACGTTGCTGCCGCTGCCCTAGCACTAACTGCAGGCATCCTGTGCATAATCAACTGCTGTTTACCGTGATGACGTCACTGCCGTACCATGTTTGCTGATTTACTTTACCTTTAGAGTGTCGACGTTATAATCTTTTTCAATTTGTCATCAGGTAGATTTTTTTCAGAATGCAACTTACAATGGAGATGTATTTACATATGTTATGACGTCAAAGCTTCAGATGAGTGTTACGTGTCTTTCTTTTCTCTAAACAGTGTGACGTCGCAGACGTGTCATTTCAAAAAGGTGCCGACATGTCATGAACTGTTGTAAAAGTTTACAAAATGTATGATGTCCTTACTGACTACTGTCGACGTATGACTGTTCAATCCTGGTGTTTTTATCGATGATCTCTGGCCTCTCGTTGATATATTTGTGCCTCTGTAAATCATCAAACCATTCAGTTTTGCTCTTGTTCCATTGATATGGAAACTGAATTCATTTTCTGTTTTAGCACATCGATATTTTCTTTGTTGTTACATAGTGAACATGTAGAGTCACACTCTTGCTGCAACGAACTGAAAGTAATCAATTATACATGTTTGGCAATAAGGGTGCCTTGTCCTGATTTGTTGTTGTTGAGCGGATCTTCATTTTATTATTCCATTTTAATCTTGGCTTCATATTTATACACAAATCTTGAAAATTGTCTATGTGATACGCACATTTTCCATGGCGTCTTTTAAAAAGTGAACATTCATTGAGCAAGATTCTTAAATTCATCATGGAACTCGCTGAAATCTTTTATGTCCTTTTTCAATGGTTACATATGCTGAACACAAGCTTAATTTCTGTAGAATGCACACTTGGTAACAAGCAATATAACTCAAAAACAATCTGCAACGGATAGAAAGAGACACAATGACGCATTCCAAACTGCTAAAAGGGGATTTATCTTTTTCTACGAAATATGATATTGAATTTGATGTATGTAATTCCAATTATTGTAATAATTTTGATTATTCGTGAATAGAACATTTTTCTTTCAATTTGTATTGTGGAGTATCATTAAAAACGCCACTGTGTAATTACTATTAATAAGAATTAGATATGTACAATGTGACGTCATCAACGCTGACGTCAAATTAGGTTCCTTTCGGACAGTCATAGACATTTATGAAAACATAATATGCTAGTTGTAATACATTGTGCCAAAGTACAGGAACTCAGAGGAAACGTAAGGAATACAAATTCGCAAAAAATGATGTAGACAAATAAAGGGAGATTAGAGCATTGTGATATTAACTGCAACACGTGTTTATTTATGAGATTGCTTTAATCACCCACGGAACGATATTTGACGATATCATTAGAGATCTGCATTTGACACATTGTTGTCCTGCCTCTCCGTTAAAGTTTCTCCAGTTCGACACATATGGTTACTGTCATAGAATAAAAAGAAAAAGAAACGAAGTGATTATATTTTTGTGGTCTAGGAATGATATGGATAAAGTTCATTCTTTGTGTATACTATATCTAATGCTATCTGTATTAAACTGTGTTATTACATGGTGCGAGATTTTGCAATTCTTTTAAATGATTTCTATTTAAAGCCCCAATATACGTAAAAATCACTATAAAAAACAAACTTTATCTTATTTTCCCCGTAATATATGTAACAAAACAAATACTTTCCTTTAATTAAAGAAAATAAAACTGACTGTTTTCAATTTAAATAAAAATGGAAAAAATCGGAAAATAAACAATGTGGGACCCACAATAATTGATACATTACCGCTCGTAGCGATGACATTGCGCATGCGCATATTCTGCGTGTGTAAACATGGCAGACACAGTACAGACGTTCACCAGTCGCTTCCTTTTTTTCCAATCATACATCAGGCCAATTCTGAATTCTTACGTTATAATTGTGCGTCGTATCGTTTCTAAACTAATTATTCCTTCTAATAATTTCCCAAAAACTGAATGTTTATCACAGGAATACCGCAAGTCTTCGCAAACAATGTTTGTAAACAAAAACTTACCGTAGACATATTTGCATGTGCTTCCTCAATAAGTAGAAACCTCAACTCTCGCGAGATCAGGTCATGAACTTTCCGACGTGGTTCGGCAAAAAATCGTAATTTCGATGGCGGCGTGTTTAAAATGGGGGTGTGTTTACAAAGAGCGAGTTTCAACTGCTCATATATCAATACTTTATGCACAAAGTCATGGTAACTATTGTTTGAATAACTTAATTTTAACTACATCTTAGAGAATATCTCAATAATTATGTGTGATTCTACACTAAACTTTTGGTGAATGTTACGTATATTGGGGCTTTAAGACTTTCTAGGTAGATAACACTATTAACTTTTAGTGGTAATAAATCGACATCATCATCACACTAAGTTACAACAGATTATTATCAAACATGACAACCTGCTAATTCAACCTCAAAAGCGAAGAAACGAGGCTAAAACAGAAAAAAACATATTTTGAAGCGACCTTTATAAAAAGTACAAAGAATAAAAGACCAGGTGTTCCGGAAGGCCAGAATTTCTAACAAAACTACAGATCAATAAAAATATGCGTTACATTTACATTTACGTCAGTTTCACAGAAAATGGAGCAAAGGAATTTTTTCGCCGTTTATCTTTTGACATAAGTTATGGATAATTTTTATTTTCGCCTCGTAGATTTATGTCCTGACATCAATGACGACATTGAATGAGGAAAGATAATATTATACCGTTGACTGTATTGTCTTTATCGTATTAATGAATTTTTCATTGAAAACTACTATTATTTGAATGTCGCTTTTAAAATTTCTATACGATATGAGATGATATTACAACCAAAACCAATCTATTTAGTTTTTAGTTTAATGAAAAAAACAGATATGCAAGCGATGACATTTTGAAATACAGCGTTAGGCAATATAAAAAGAGTGGGCGCATTCTGCTTCATCGACAACACCTGCCACGTACACATTGATGAATCTATGCAAGTAATGTCACGTTTTCAAATGAGAACAAGGTATATAACAACGGAACCAACAGGCAAACTAAGGGGCATTAAACAAATCCACTTTCGTGTTATACATACAAATAGAATATTTCTTAATGAAATCACTTTGATGACATCCGTAAAACTTTTCCATCATTTTCATCAACATGCATTTTTGAATCCCTGTGTTACGAGGTTGTCCGTTGGTAGATAACTTCTCGTACGAAAATCGTGATAATGGAAACAGGCCATTGAATATCGAATCACCAGTGCCACGTAAATACCATAGGCTTGGGATGCAGAATTAAATAGAGGATGCAAGATACCCCAGTCATAAAAATACATATTTTTCATATATGTACATGTAACACTTAATCTAATATTTTCGCCACCAGTCATACTGTTAAAGCTCGCATGTTCCATATCAGACCGGTAGTCAGAAATCTATATCACAATTTTCGGAACTCCTCGCTGCTGTTGCGAAGATGCAAACTAGAGCTGACGATCACTGCTTTGTTTACGATGGAGGCAATCAGTATGTCAGGCAGAGTTGGCCATCAGAGCAGGAAATGCAGATTGATGTCACTGATGAATCGGACGAGCTATTTTCTCGCCATTTTGCAGAAAAGATGAAGCAATTTAAAAGATAATGAGAAAATCTGAGTAGCATTTTCATCTTGGATTAAGTCTAGAAATGTAATAAGACAGATTGAAGAACTTGATGTCTTTTTGTCGATTGTTTTCATGAATATTTAATTAAAATTGGATTGGATTACCAGAGAGAAGTTGTTGCCGCGTAACACGGGAAGCATAAAGAATAGTTATTGCTGTTGTTATATATGTAACGTAACTCTGAGCGGGATTGTTGACATTCACACGAGAAGACAGACTACAATATTCACAAGATTTATTTACAGTTTTCCTACAATAATATTTCCGGACATTTATTTACAAACATGATCCTCACATTGTTAGTCATATCACCACATACGCATTTCACTCTCATGCATACATAATTACATACTCATAAATGACTACCAAACTACAACAACACTAAGTAACCTAAAAGTCACTGTCAGGCCACCGTAGAGTACTCCACAACGTCGCTGTCGTCCGACGTCAACCAATTGTTCCAGATATAAGTAACTGTCACAGCCAAGCAATATTCCCAGAATCCTTGAGTACACCTGGTCGTAAGAACATAGGCCACACATCCAAAGCCAAGTAACAGGTATCAACAGATCATCACAATCGACCCCAGAGAAGACATCATGTGGAACTGTGTTCCCACGTCGGCGATGATGTTCCCAGGACGCTGACGCCATACATCTCTATACAAATAATTGACGTCGTCGATTCATATCACGAGACAAATGGATACATCATATACCATACAGTATATCCAACCCTTCCATATTACTAAGGGTGAAGTTCAAGGCACATATACGCTGGGTATTTGGTACTGACCAATACTTGACCCCGCCTCAGGGCTTCCATACACACAACGAGTGGGTTTTCAGTGTCAGCTATCGCTACGGTGTTGGCCCAACAAGCTACAACAATATAGGAATTGTAATTTACCCTTATTGTATAATAAACTATTTTAATATTACTTATTATTACCAACCACACATTAAATACATATACAACTCTAGTGAAATTCGTTAACATACACGCTTTTAATAAACAAAGAACTGCACGAGCGCCAGTAGTACCCGGTCACCCATAACAATAGCGGTGGCATTTAACGACCCTTTCAAACTCAAAATCTCATTCAAACAGACAAAAACCTATCCAAATACTAGTGATAAGGTTATAAGGTGATATTTGGATGAATCACATTAAAAATACTCACCCCAATCTGTATTTTAGGCGTCGTAGTGAGCCACGTCTTACCACCCGCTAAGCGTGCTTATTTACCTGTATTATTCTCACCTGTCGCACCTGCGCACGTACGCCCCGTGCAGCTCGACGGGTAAGAAAAGGCGCGCTAATTTGAAACTCTAGGGCTAACATAAATCATTTATCGGCATAAAATAATGATTTACTATATATACATAGAAACGGCATGTGAGAATATATATTACATTTTTTACCGATATTGTGCTTTACTTAATTCACATTGTATTGAACCGAGCTTCTAGTAATGAAATATATATGCTTCACAGAATAAAACATGGTAAAGACCATATAGCGTTCCATATCAGCGCGACAATCTAATATATTAGACCGGTAAGTTTAAACCTAATCTGATATCACAAACAATGCACTGACATTGTACGATATCAACAATTATAACAATAATAAACAAATTAAAGAAGAATCGTAACAAACAATACAGAATATACATCCTTTGATGAGGCAAATAATTGCCTAAAATATAAAATTCAAAACAAAAGAGAGAAATCGGAAATTAAAGAAAAGGAAAAGTATCGATTAATTCACAGTATCATAAAATTATCATAAAAGACGGGGACGGCTTTTCATACGAATTGTGGAAGGGAATATACATTTGTGCATCATTCAACTCTACCCATGGTTGCTAAATTGATTCATAACATATTCCAGACTTTGTGGCAGGTTTTGGGTTCTGTCCCCTGACCAATACATAACATATTCCATACTGTGAGGCAGAATTTGGGTTATGTCTCCTGACCGATACATAACATATTCCACACTGTGATGCAGGTTTTGGGTTGTGTCCCCTGACCAATACATAACATATTCCATACTGTGAGGCAGGTTTTGGGTTATGTCCCCTGACCGATACATAACATATTCCACACCGTGAGGCAGGTTTTGGGTTCTGTCCCCTGACCAATACATAAATACTGTAGAATTGTAGTTACATCTCCTTGCCTAATTCTTGGCATTGCCATGGTGTCTGGTTTTCCCGTTACTTTGATTTGACCCGGCTGGGTGTCTTGTTTTTGGTACCATATACCAGTTTGCTGTACTATTACACGAAGACAACACGTTCAACTTGATATTGCACAAAGAAATAGATTTTTTTTCTCATTGAGGTCACTATGACGACCGTTAATCTTTCCCATCATTTTCATCAACCTGTATATTTCGAAGCATTTTGGTATGGGTTGGTTCGCCAGGTGAAGACTTCTCGAAAACGTGACAAAGGGAACAAGATCTTGAATATCGAATCAGCTGTGACATATTAACACCGTAGATTGGTGATGCAGGGATGTTGCTATTCAGAAATGGAAAATTAACAATAGGGAAATTCAAATCATCACTATTATCATTCAGCTTGGTGGGGAAAAAAACAAAACGAAAAAGACAGTGAACAATTCTACTTTTTTATTTTAGTTTATTTCTTCATTTCTTCAGTACAAACATTACTAAAACATGAATGACCTGGTGTATGAAGTAGAAATGCTAAAGATGCCTTTTTCGTTAATATTGAGGGAGGAAATCTACTGTTAAATCCGTGTTCTACAATGTAAAGCTAAAATCATTTGCAAAAACATTAATTGCCTATTATAAATGTTTTTAACTTTTGAGAAAAACAATTCTAAAACAGCTTTTCTTGCTTTCATGCAAATATACAATTTACATAACGAAAAATAGGGGAAAACACAGACATACAATCAAAATATCACACGATCCAATGTACACAGAATGAACAAGTAATTCATGAAGTGATAATCGGGTAAAATTTGTTCTCACTGCCAATACTTCTAGCAATTGACACCATTTTCAGAAAAAGCTGACAAATATGTTTGTATTATAGATATATTCCAAGCATAAAATTGATCCTTTCTACCTCAGTTTGTACATCAATGAAATCTTCTTATGAGACGCCATATGGTTCCCCTATTTTTTTTCAATTCTCCTTCGCTTAAAAAGGAAAGGAAAAGAAAAGATGAATAACTTAGCTGCCATTACGGTAGAAAAATGTGCCCTGAACCTTGAAGACTCTTGAAGAGACAACAGAGTCACTATCAAATACGATATAATTTTGACCGAAGGTAAGCTGTATAATACTTCTATATCTATTTCATGGACTTTTTCATGGATTTTTTTTTCAATGATGCTATTGTGGTCATATTGAAAAACTATATCCATTCAATAACATGGTCGTAAATGCTGTCGAGAACTGACAATTTCGGAGTACAGGGTTTCGAGCGATGCCGCTTAATTAAGATTATGGGGAAGTTATATGGTCATAGTGATATCACTGGGATATATTCCATTTCCTTTTTTGCGATATGAAGTGTTTGGTGCTCGTGACTTTTTTTGGTAGAACCATTGTTCTTAACATTTTTGATACGTGACATCACTTACTTGTATTGACCATGATTTACATACATGGCGGTGGTTGCCGATGAAGCAGAAGACGCTTACCCTTCTTGAACATTTTATTATCGTTGTACTTTTGCAGGAGACCCCTTTTAAGTATTTATCTTGTTCATATTTTCCCATAGTTTCATCGAATTGGAGTTTGCATGAATCTTATATTGACATGTGGATATATTTCTTTGACAATGTTACTAGTCTAGTAGTTTGTATTAAGAAATATAAACAGCGATTCTTAAATGTTTATCTCCAAAGTTGTTTTCTCAGTTGATATCTCATTAGAAGCTGTGTAGCAAGTTTTCGAACCTCTGGTAGGTAATGTAAGATAGGTAGTAACTAAATTTTACTGGGATACAATACCAAAGACAATTCTTAAACAATTTATTTGTTTATTTGGGGGACTCCCGAAGGAGGGAGCACTCTGTGCTCAGGAATTTTCTGGTGTCAGATCGCGACATCACTTTATCAAACACTTCAATGACTACTAACTACCAAACACGGAAGTAACAGACAGATACACACTTACATATCATGGGATGTCAAAAACGATTGTAAAGCTTATGTATAAAATATGTTAAAATATAATGGTTAAGGTTAGGAAGCGATTATTCAGAATAAGCGAAAACAAGAACGAAAATTCTACTTTAGCCCTTACTCTGTAGTAATATTTTGTATACAAACATGCAAAGTGAATGGTGACAACACCTAACCGTAACTATACTGATGTCTATATATCGACTACACAATTGTTTATGATAATATATGTATCATAAACACATTACAGGGAAAACAAACATTCTGAAATCATCCTCGAACTCAAAATCCTGTTAGGTATGTCTGTTCCTTGTGTCATTGAAGCAGAAATACTAGTATTTAACCTATTTTCCAACAGGAAAGGTAAATTTTCATATTAACCCTTTGCTACTATCACCGAATTAGTATCTCTGTAAGACACGTACCATAAAATAATTTGCATAATTTTTTAGGATGTTGCTATATATGAAGGAATGTTTGCCATGTTGACAAACAAGTACTCACTTAATTTATAAATAACATCCAATCACAATGAATTTGTGGAAATTTCAGAACGTAGCTCTCCAAATGGTAGAAACGGTATTAGGATATATATATTTTGAAATGCAAATTCAGACGGACAAGTAGACAGCGACAATATTTTGCTTTTTTAGTTTTTTATGTTTTTTAAAGCTGAAACTGCAATGTTATATAAAATTATATATAAGCAGATTAAACGTCCTTCTGTTCTTTATTGGGGTTTGTTCTGGAACCTGTTGACACCCATCAGTACTCCTGCGACGCCGTGAAATATCATTCCCACGATCGATAAACCAAATGACCACGATAATCCAGTAGTGATCTTAGAACCAAAAATGACCACGGCGAGGAAAATACATCCGGCTGGAAAAGACAGAACAGGATACTAATTTAGGAGACAAGATGGTAAAGCATACAATATGTTAATCAAAGCATGTTGATGTTTTGCATATTGGCCCAGCATAGCAAACATTAAAATCACTCGCAACAGATAAAACGGATACAATTTTTTAATCATTCTTTAAGTATCAAATAATTCACCAGTGACTTTGTCCTTTTAAAAAATTCTGGCATATGTTACTAGGTTTATATACCATTAGGCGTTTTTTATTTGATGCCCCAGTCAGAAAGTGATTGTGACGTCATAAATATGGACAATGACTTTGCTTATTGAATTGAAAATGACGCAACAAAATTTTTGAGTTGAGACCTCAACTTACTAAAATAAAACTTTTCTTAGTTATAAGTTACCTATATTGTTTTTCCATGAGGATATATTTCCGCCAAGTTTGATTTTCTCAATAGATGGTAAGTGCTTTACAGATACTGGAGAAGAAAGCTTCCTCCATCTACAGATATGAGGATACATGTCCGCCAAGTTTGATTTAATCAATAGATGGTAAGTGCTTTACAGCCAAGTTTGATTTTGTCCGCCAAGTTTGATTTTCGACTTTTTGATATAAATGACGAAACAGCTCAATGATACAGTTTCCTGTGTTATTTGGCTATTTTTTTTTTTTTTTTTTATTGAGAAATACCTTTTACTTGTATGTCATTTGTACAAACCTGTTTTATTATGATATATAAGCCAAAACCTTGCTGTGTGGTTTTTAGACTCATTACTATATAAATATGCTGGCGTTGACATTATGAAACAAAGCCTTCGGGCAATATTATATGACCCATGACATCAAGGTATAGTCAGCTTAACACACTTTCGTTGGATTCATATTCATTGATAAGGTACGAAATAATTCGTGAAGTTTTTTTATTGCAAAAACGATTATTTTTTTTATTTATTTATTTTTGTTGAATGTTAGATAATTTGTTGATGAACGGCCGAAATATGAATAAACGATGAAGTTTACATTCGAGAACATGCACTACAGCTTGCTATGAGGATGGAATGTGTTATAACACAATCAAGACATTTCATACCCAATTAAAATTTATCGTGACGAACGTAAATATTTAAACATCATAACTAAATTGCTTGGTTACGTAAAAGAATAAAACAGTTTTAAGATTCAACACATAAAAAAGAAATTAAATAAAATATGAATTCATTGAAAATTGCGAAAATTGTACTTAATTTATACCGAAGTCTTTGCATTTGACTTCAATGACATTTTAAAAAATGACTCTCACATTGAAATTTTAGATCAAATCTTTACTCATTGAGGGATTTAATGGATTTTTTTTTCATTTTCATAGCGGCAATGGATAGCAGTTTCTATATATAGTGCGCCCTAGAGCATCTTGTACGATATGTAGAAAGCTACTGCTATTCACTGTCGCTTTGAAAATGAAAAAAACAAATAAACAAATGAATTTCATAGACAAAATATAATTGATTAGCTTGTTTAATGATGAAGTAACAGAAGTATGAATTTATCACTGAAACAAACTAATTTTTCGCTGAGATCTTGTTTTATCAAACTACTTAATGTACACAAAGTAGGACTTAAGGACTCGCTGTCACATCCTGATTTGTTGGTTATCACAGGTTTATCTAGAAACGTTGATGTCCTTGAGAATAAAATTATAATATTAAATTGTTCCTGGTTTGAACGCTGCTTACTGGTCACGCCAATATGTTGACAATTATGTGTTTTAAATCCACACCTGGGTTCGTTTGACACGCTAAATAAAACCAGGATCCATGCACTAATATATCATGGAGTTGTGTTGTTTAATCCCCGTGATTGTTACATTTCAATCTAGTATTGACACGCTTCAAAATGACCACATGTACACTACTAATTATGCTGTTTTTGAATTATTAAATATTTACAAAAAAAAATAACAATAATAATAATAATAAAACTTTATGGAGTTGTGGAGCTAGTGCACCCCCCTCCCATTACACGCTGTATTGATATAACACAATGCACGTGACACATACTCATAACATGAATAATAGTAAAATACAAAAAAGCACCATCTTCAACATCCAACGTAACTGAAAATTCTTTGCTGAGGTAAGTGTAAATGACGAAAAATGTAGTTCTATCTTGTTTATTCATGGAACGCATAAGAAATATTCAGAGCATCTAGATCGACCAAAACAAGTGTATTGAACTGCACAGAAGTAGGTCATTTCCGTAACAGCACGTCCGTTCGTTGTAAGATTTTAACATGCCTAATACAAGTACTTACCAGCGACGAGATTTCCCAAGCTTGCTATTATGTAAATAATGTCTTTCCTCAGTTGTTCCAAAAACACATACAATACAGCCAGTACAATGGCTGCAAGGCCGGCCAGAAATCCAAGTATTGCAAACGCTTGTGTAGCTTCCATCCAACCTATAGAAATAAACATTCATTCTGTCTATCACTGAGATATGTTACGGAACCGTTGGATTCGAATGGTTGATACAAAGACGTGATTTTCTACCTCTTCCAAAAACAATAAAAAAAGAATGAAAAATAAGTTACTTATATGAATAACATCAAAGAAACTACCAAATTCCTAAATCTTAGGGCAATTTATGTACAAAAGAAACATTTAAAAAGAGACTCCTGAAAAAGCACAAGAAAAACAATACTAGGTGTTTTTTGCTTCATAGACGACACCCGCCTTTTAAACCTTGGTTAATCCAAGTTAATCATGTCCTCAGTTGAGAACAATTTTACAACAACGGAACCAACAGGCAAACAAACACGTCCAGCTTCATATAGCACGAAGAGATAGAATATTTCTCAATGAGATCACTAAAACTGATAACGATTAAACGTGATTGAGATTAAGCCACGTTTATTGGTTTATTGAAGTTCCTAGACCGATGGTGTTCAAACGACACAATTAAGTACAGATACATTGTACAATTTCTTTATTTAGATTCAATCTGAAAATTCGGAACATCTGTTTCTATTTGAAAACTTTCTAAAGCATATTCGGAACATCAATGCTTGCAATTGAGAAATAGCTATACAAAACACTTACAACATTTATCACAACATTTGAAGAAAGTTTTGTCAGCACATTGAACACAAGAGACAAAGACACTGAAACGGTGTGTGTATGCAAGATTGCCACTGACGACTTTTCATTATATCATTTCGGACTTTGCACAAAACTTTGTCTCTGATGACATAAGAATGCAAGATAATTCGTTCGCCGTTTAAAGGACCTTTATCATCAAAAAAGTAGCAAACATTTTTTTAGAATAAAAGAAACTTAATACTCTTTAATATTACTGTTTATGACACCATATAGGTACTATGCACTCTCTGTATATGCCCTGTGACCGTGTGAACTTGTCTGATACAAAAAAGTATAGATCTAGTAGTGAAATAGACGCTTTTCGTGTTCATATTTAATTTATCAGGAAACAGGCCATGTTACAGTAACATGCACAAATCATGCAAAGAAAAAAATATTCTTATAAATATGACCTATTTATGATATATACAATATGATGGCCGTACATGCAAATGTAACCTTTTCAATTTCCTTCCGTTGTCTCTTGGGTTTGTATGATCAGTCAGGTTAACAGGAAATGAGCAACAAAGAGTAGGAAGGCCATATAGTTTGGCGATCAATCAATGTTGCTTGATAAATGGAATACATCATCAGTGTCTTATTATAAAAGCTAAATTTTGGCTCAGACAAAAGCTCGCCAGCGGCTGGCCACTTTTGTTTTTCTGTGTTGCAAAACACAGCTTATGTCTTAACGAAACGACAGATATGCTTTCTGTTTTAACTTTTTAAAAAATTATGTGTACACAATAATGACAGCTTTTAAGCTCGTCCTGAGAACACAACATATCCTATAAACGCAATGACAGGTTTCACACACACACAAAATCATTGAAATTCATTATTTATTTATTTGAATGCTTCCAACGCACAGGTGTGTAATGATAGATTGAAAGTGCACGTATAAAAATATACTTCTGTTTATTCATCTAAATTGGGCCCTATTTTTGATTGTCATAGTGAAGTTACCCTTCAAAATATTGATTGATTAATTAATTAGTTACGTTGTTTTAGGTCAATTGAAGAGAAGTAATAGTTTGTCATTGAAATCACTCTGACTATACATCCGGGAATTTGTATACACACGTCAAGGTAAAGGCAGGCGTAAGAATAGCATGATGTCGCTATCTGTTAAGTCTGTTTCAACAGTATATATACAAATGTACGCATGTCATTGACGTATTGCCGTGAATCTACATTTCACTGGGTTTTTATACGAGATGTTTTCAATTTGTATAGTAAACAGGTTGGTTATCGTCATAGCAACGAAAGTGATGAATCAAATATGTGATTAACGAGAGACACTGTGCACGAACGCCCATATAGACCGGACACTATCGTGTTCGTTGATCTGCAATCGATTTGGCTATAAGTTTACTATATTATCAATATGGGGTTTTTTTTTTTTACAGAAAACAAAGAATATACAGCGCTGCACAAAAGTAGTTAAATAAGTAAGAACTCAAAAAAAAGGTAAAGGATGACCGATTTAAAAATACATTATCACATTTGTAATGTTTAGAAGCTATGTTTTCGTCATCGTGAATATTAGACCGAGTCCGGCCGGTGTGGTTCTTTAAATATTATATACTTCCTGGTCCTTTCCGATCTTGGTCACAATCATTTATCTAATGAAGAATTATTACTGTATAAACGTATATCTGAATTGTCGTTACAGGTACCATGTTACTAGTATCTCTAAAATAAATTCGGATATAAATTTGTTATAGTGATTCTGATGTCAAAATACGGGTACGTAATTATACCACCATTACGGTAACAAGCGATCAGATCAACGAACAATGAGTATTCTTGTAATGCGAGAACGACGCAGTGGTGTATTAATATTAAAGCAGCTACCTGTAAACTATGTGAACAGTTATTTAGACTGAAAGAAAACATAGTATACTACACAAACCTCCAGAAACATAGTATTCTACACAAACCTCCAGAAACATAGTATACTACACAAACCCCTAGAAACATAGTATACTACACACACACCCAGAAACATAGTATACTACACAAACCCCCAGAAACATAGTATACTACACAAACCCCCAGAAACATAGTATACTACACACACACCCAGAAACATAGTATACTACACAAACCTCCAGAAACACAGTATACTACACATACCTCAAGAAACACAGTAAACTACACAAACCTCTACAAACATACTATTTATTTATTTACAAAGATATCCTTTGTTCTTTCTTTATATGAATCCCGCCTATGTACGTTTCAGAAATAACATAGTTATATATAAAAATTCTTATCGAAAAGGAAGTGCAGTACACATATGTTGTTGTTGTTGTTTTGAGACATCCGACATCCGAATGATCGTTTTCTAAGGCTCTCGTTTGTCGCCGTACAATAGTTTGTAAATAAACTACCTCACGCATAGTAAAGGCGGGAAAAACACACATAATTGATTGAGCAAATATGCTGGAATGTGTGGCGTGACTAGTTAGTACGCTTTATAAGCTTGCCTGAATATAGTAAGTATATTATGGTTGTGTTAAAAGGGATATTGTCGAACAAGCTGAATTTTTGCCAGCGACATTTTTGTTTTTGTTTTTCTTGACACTCACTATAAAAAATCTCTATTTTTGTTGTTATGATATGACTAGAAGGAAGAATATGCCTTCTGTCAGTATTCTCAGTTATAAATCAACCACATTTTTTAATCAATATAAACTTTATTACTTTTGGCATTACTTACTTACTTACTGACCAAGATTTACACAGAGGGTGTCGTCAATGAAGGAGAGGACGTTTATCTTTCCGGACATCTTGTCTTATTCAGAAATCAACGTGTGACAAGGCGGAAGCATACAAAGCACGCGCACTTATGGACATCGACAAGTTGTGAGTTTAGGCATGTGGACAGTGCATCACATGTTTTTTGCTTGCATGGATTAGGAGCAGATGCATGATCGAAATATATAGAAAGTATTCTCAATATACATTGTACGTGTTATACACCACCACCCCCTCTCTCCCTCCCTCTCTCTCTCTCTCTCTCTGTAAACTTGTTTATAATTGTTTCATGGCTATTATATCATACTACCACCTTTTAGATACAGTGTATTAATATCGGCATGTCATCCAGAGCAATTGGAGTAACGTGTCTTGTCAAAGGACAAAACCACGACAGCACAGGATGATCGTAGCTTTCTTCCGAAATACTAACTATCCTGAGTTTTTGGGAAGGGTGCAAATCTCGAGCGCGCGGGAACGTGCAAATCGCGATCGCCAGAGCGTGCAAATTGCGATCACAGATAATCGAGATAACTAAAGGTATATGGCGACATAAAATGACTTTTAAGTCCTATCGCAAAACACCTTACAACTGCAGTGTTTACAATTGTTGCGATTGACCATAATACACTTAGAAGAACAGGCTATTGGTTCAAATATCAGATGTGCATAGTGTAGGCTGTAAAGTATGGCACTAATTGAATTGGATCCGGAATAAAAATTACTTTCGGTTTTAATTCTATTTCACCTTTTTCTTCGCCTTATTTATTTATTTATTTCATGTATTGATTTATGTAACTAATATCACACAGTAGTGAATCTGTATAGTTTCATATTTAAGACTTTATCTCAATATTGTCTTCAGCACGTGCGTCCCCTCCTTTTCAAATCTACTTACTTGGACTTGAGGTGATACTACCACATCTTCCTGCCGAACACCCTCTCCACAACCCGGAGTTGTAGCTAAAATCAAGAGAACCAAGAGTGATTGTTTGTGAGGTCCAATAAGGCGTTGCTAGACCAATAAGATGAAACAGAATGCCAGCAAGTGTAGATCCTAAGGCAATCTTCAATAATACCGATGTATCTGCTAGTCCCATTTTGAAAGGCAAGTTATAACTCCGCGTGTGTTGAAGCAGCCCTTCCCAGAAACCTAGTCTATTCACACTGTTTCACTGTGACGCTTCACATACACTTAAAACTATGATATGTTTATTCATTCGTGACCACTTCCAACCTAAACATTGTACTATCTTATGTAGCTTCCGGCTGTCACTAGCGCATTGCTCGACCCGGATTGTGACCATATAAAATTGGGCCGCTGGGATATTTGTAAACTATGTACAGGTAAGGTGTTAATGTGTTCAAGGAAAAACCCAGAGGCGTCTATCAACAGGGGCGTGTCTCCAATCCGTTACTTGAATATTATATATCACATTGATGACGAAATGTCGTTAAACAATCTGGATTAATTTCATTCATTGTACTGATGCTCCTGTCTGTTGTGGGTTGATATGCATGAATGAATCATGTCTGTACAACTTGTCACAATCAAAGT